TTCCCTGTGAGGGTGACAGAGCATTGGAACAGGTTGCCCAGAGAGGTAGTGGAGTCTCCTTCGCTGGAGATATTCCAAACCCGTCTGGATGTGATCCTGGGCAATATGCTCTAGAGGTCCCTGCTTGAGCAGGGAGGTTGGACTAGATGATCTCCAGAGGTCCCTTCCAACCTAAACGATTCTGTGATTCTGTGTGATTCTGTGATTTTTGAGCACAGGAATGTTTTACACAAGGGTCATCTATCTTTGACATCTTGGCGTATGTTTGTGCTCAGTGTCTCATGGCAGAGAGCTTTGCAGGTCGTTGAATGGAAGTTTGGAAACCTCAGGGTGTGTCATTGAACAAGACCTCGCAAGATTGCCCTCATTGGAGTGACTTCTTTGTTAGAACTTCTCTTTTCTTAAAGCGAGTTTATTAACTGGGGCTTAAACTTAGCAGAAGAGCATGTGAAATTTAGTTCCGATTATTCCTGGCCAAAATAAATATTGAAACTCACCCTCAAGCAGGCAGTGCACTGGCTTAGACTGATGCCGTAACTGGATCTTCAGTTTCTACTATTAGAATAATAGTTGTAGAATTAAAAACTGTTGAAAGTGGGAGTATATCCTTTCTTTAACACTGAGAAAGACATGAATCTTATGGTAATTGGCAGTCCAGTACTTGGGGTTTGTTCTACGTTGCCTGGAGAGGTGACATTTGTTTTCCTGCTATCTTGTAATAGCCTTATTTCAGTCTCTTTCTTAAAATGCTTGCAGTTGTGGAAAAGAATGAACTATACTGGCTGTTTTGTGGTAATATCCTACACTCTGACCCCAAGTTGCTGTGATTAAAGGTGGAAAAGAAAACACTAGATTGCTGTCTGTCCCCCAGAGAATGCAAGAATCTTCCTTCCTCTCATATTGTAACTTATAAGTAGGAAATCTTTTCTGTTGAATGTTCCAATTTATTCTTTGATTTTTTCACCCTTTGAAGTGACTTCTGATTTAGATCCCCCTGAAAAAAAGCATTTCCCTAACTCCATTCTTTTGGATCTCCTTCAAATGATTTGATTCTATGTATTGCAGTATTTCACCAAATTAAAATAAAATTCACTTTCTCTGTAAAAGTGATGAAACAATATAAGCTCTTACTGGAAGGTAGAGGCTGGGCACAGGTTAGAAGTAATAATATTGAAGTATGGGCTGCTTTAGATTGCTTTCACTTTTGTATAGCTACGCCAAATCTATAGTTAATAGAGTTAGTGGCAATCTCTCTGCTTGTATGCTTCAATTTCAAACTTTGTTTGTTTGCCTCATTTTTGGAAAATAGTTACTTTTTTTTTTTTTTTTTTAGCGGCTGATTTGTTCACAGATCTGGAAAACGCATTTCAAGAAAAAATTGATGCAGCTTATTTCGAGACCAGCAAATACTTGCTTGATGTTCTCAATAAGAAGTACAACTTACTAGAGCACATGCAAGCCATGAGGCGCTATTTACTGCTTGGCCAAGGAGACTTTATCAGGCACTTAATGGACTTGCTCAAGTAAGAGAGCATGAAGGGTAGTTATGTTGAATTTCTTATGCTTACAGATGTGTATGATCAGCACAGAAAATATTTTGCTTTTGCAATTGGACACTTCTAACTATCTTATTACTCAAAGGGTTAACTAAACATCTTTAAATTCCATTTTGGATTTGTTTTCTTTGACTCTGAGGCTGAAATTTAGTTCTCTTTCTTGGTAGGAAGTGAGTACAGTACAATTACAGGATCTCCTGAGAAGCTGCACTGACATAGCTGTCTTTACTCTGGCCCTGTGACAGCCCTTAAGATGTTTGTACTTCTGTTCCTGCCAGGAAATTTAGGCACAAAACTTTAGTTTCTGGTACTCTTATGCCATTTGTGAGCATTGTCATGAATGCTAGGCTTCTGTAATACTTTGAAAGTGTTTGGTCAAAAACATTGTGTGAAAACCTCTCACTGCATACTGGAAATTCTACTGATACCTCACCAGCCTCTTTTGTTTTAAGCACCGAGTTGCTCTCACAAGTATCAGTCTCAGTACTTAAAGCATATTTGCAAGCTGGTTGGCTTTTACATCCTGTTCCTATTGCTGAAACTTAGCCTGCCAAAAATGTTTTTTACAAAACTCACCATTAGTCTATGAGGCTTGCTTTGTATTAGAGCTTCTATTAACTTGTTTGTGCATCAAAACCAACTTTGTCTGGTCACCATTTGTATTGACACTCATGTCCGTGCTTTTTAAGTAAAAAATAACATGAAGCAGAGCTAAGATTGGTGCATGGAGTCAGTATTACATTTGAAACAGAAGCAGTGAGGGGCTTTTCAGCCCTGATCATGGGGGAGAGGAGCTCAAGGCGCTTGCTACTAACATGTCATAGCTCTTCTGAAGGCTGCAGAAGAGGTGGGCTTGTGCTTCTGTCAGCATTTCTAATCCCTTGGGACGACGATCAGTAAGTCTCTCAAAATTACGAAATGTGATTAGTGATTTATGTGTTAATGATGCAGTTCTTGTTCATTTTAGATATAAATGCAACTAAAGTGACAGAGTTTCCTGGCAGTCTTAATAACTTCAAATTACTGACGTCGAATGAGAATGAATTTATTCCTAAATCCGCTGCTGTTGAGATGTATAGCTGCACAAAAATAGACAGTTTGAAGTATTTTGCTTGTTGATTTTCCCTGTGGTTAAGGCAGGGGTTTTGAAAGTCAAACTATCAGAAAGATGTTTGATTGTATACTGCAATTACTACCAAATCACTACTTGAGAATATCTCAGTGATGTGCCCTGACTTTTTGTTTGTTTGTTTCATAACCTCCAGGCCAGAGCTTGCACGACCAGCTACAACTTTATATCAGCATAATCTGACGGGAATCCTTGAAACAGCTGTGAGGGCAACTAATGCGCAGTTTGATAACCCTGAGATTCTCAAACGGTTGGATGTTCGGCTTCTGGAGGTCTGTTGCATCATGGTGGTTCTGACCTGAAATGATAAATAAGTAAAAATGCCTACTTTGTGTGTGTGTGTGTGTATATGTGTAGATATACATATATGTACGTATGTATGTGCACATACAGACACATGTATGAAACAAAATTTTCCTGGGCATATATAGTACATGTAGTTTTTCCTCTTTTGTTCAGCTGAAGCCTATTTTGAATTATGTAAGCCTCCTTCAAAGGTCTTCTCTTCTCCCATCTCCTGCCCACTGTTCATTTGTATTTTGATCTATGGGAGTATAGTTATTTCAGTGACAATGCAAGGTCAAGTATTTGAGTCTAACAGTAAGTAATGCTGGTGGCCCTGATTTGGGGTTCTGCAGGCAGCTCCTACTGCTGTTGCTCTTACTAGCATCTGGGGTATGGTTTCTTTGTGACTGGTTGTTACAAAGAGTGAAGAAAATGAAAGTGCATTTTGTGAAGGATGTCTTTGGTAAGAAACATGTATCAATGAGAAAAGGTTTCGGGCTCCAGCCCCAGAGGTGAGGGTTATCTGAACAAATGTAGACATGTGAAGTAAGCCTATGGTTTAGGCTGAATCCTACATTTCTTTTCTGAGCTCCAGTGGAAAAAAAAATGATGTTACAGACAGCTGGGTGAGATAAATCCCACCCTTATGTCAAACTTAAAATCATTTTTGCCTGATTTCCTGAAGGGTACCTTTTGACAAGAAACTTCCGTGTTGACATTGATGACATGGCACTTATTTTTTAACAGGCTTTGGGGAATGGAAGAGTAAGCAAGACTTCTTCAGCACTAGTACACTCTGGTTAAACACTAAAAGCAAGCATCTTTTTTTACATACAGGTGTCTCCTGGGGACACTGGATGGGATGTCTTCAGCTTAGACTATCATGTTGATGGGCCAATAGCAACGGTAATACCATATACTGCAGAATGTGAACATCTCAGATACCACTTTGGATCACTAAATAGTTTGTTACTGAAATAACCTTTCATTCTGGAAAGTAAGATCAAAGAGTCTTCTTTTTTTGGCATGTAGGACAAACCTACTGTATAAACAGTTGAGCCAAAATCTCATCTTTTATAAGCTAATAGTGAGTGCTGAAAAGCTACATTTAAAACATTCATTACTGAAAATCAGTAATTCATTTATTTCAGCAAAGATTTTAGCAAGTACTTAATAAATGGAGTGTTCTTTTTCTTCTATTATATCAAGGCTGTAGCAGCTAATTTGGGATAATTTGCAAGGAACTGTAGAATGTATTTGAGGAGAGCCTATTTGTACCATTTAAATAAAATTTGATAGGTAGTATTCATTAGAACTGCTGAGAAAATAGCTGAGAAAACTATTGATCAGAATGCTTTTAGCCTCTGTAATGACTTTTTTTTTAAACAATATGTCAGAATGGGAGTCTGACAAGCAAAAAGAATCGTCCATATATTTGTAGTTTGAGAAGAGTGAACCGTTTCGGCTTTGTCCCTTGTTCATCCTTTCTTACGCTTCCTCACTTCCTTCCAGCTAGGACTGAAAGTGCTCAAAACCTCCCCAGAAATAACTGACTCCTAGCACGTTGGTCCAAGTTCTTACAACTGGCCGTCAAATAGAGTGTTGCTTTCTCACCTTACAACATACTGAAACTGGTGAGGGCATCAGAGCAGTACTAAGGACTTTTAAAACTTTTTCTTTAATTGTATTTCAATATACCAAACGCGCCTGCCTGCAACGCTCACGTGTAGAAAAGTACCGAACCTCTCGTGCATTTCTGCCCTGTTTTCTTCCACCTTCTCCCGAATATAGTGTGGCAATAGTGAGGTGGGAACCTTGTGCTCTGGGAATCCTTCCAGTGTTAAAAGGAGCAAACAAAATGATGGCTGTAAGCAGGCACAGCTGGAGTGTGCTCTGGACCAGGCGAGATGCTACAGCTCTGCTGTCAGCAGTGCCCTGTCAGCACTCTGCAAGCTTGCAGCTGCTGTTGCAGCAGGGGCAAGATCCGGAGTGCTGCTCTGTAATGCATGTTTAAATCTGCCTGTGCCAAGCTGCAGTGCTGTTATAACTTTCAGCACTGGATGTGGCGGATGTGCATTTGGGTCTGTGATGGATAGTACCCTTGAGGGTGAGGTTTGAGAAAGTGATGAGGAACGACCGGTGCACTCCCATGTCTGAAGGCCTGCCCTGACAGAGGATAGAGCTTACACCAGGTTGTAGAGACTTCTTCCCTCTCTTTTCCCCAAAGAGTTATTTGGCCAGTTCCGATTGTTGTCCAGACTCCAGTGATGTGGAGAGCCAAGGAAAAAAGCGGGTTTCAGTATTTTGGTGGCCCAACCTTTTTTAGGTGGCATGTATAATTATGCATAGTTACACATTCACACATCCTTTTTTTGTTTTGTTGTGGTAAAGACCTGCAGGAATTAGGCAAATATCCTGCACAGCTTCCCCTTACACATCCTGCTGCCTTCTGAAGTTGGACAAACCTGGTGCTTCAGAGCTGGGGGGGACCTGGGAGAAACAGTTCCCTCCCGGCTTCCTCAAGAGCTCGGGAAGTGACCCTCCGTTCTGTACACACTGCTGCTTATTGGGGGGCAGTAAGGATTTCTTCCCCCACATTGGAAATAGCACTGGGACACATGATATTGGTTTCAGGCTGGTAGAAACGGGAAGGTTTGAGCACTTGCTTTCAAGTGCCTGGGAACACACCCACGTTTCTTGCTTGCCAGTTGTTGCAGTTGGGGAGTGCTGCTTTGCACAGCTCCTTTCGAGTGGTGGTGTGCAGGAGGGCTGCCTCGCAGTCTGCCAAACCTATTCTCAGTCGAGGGTCTGGCAGCTCGGGCTCTCTGCAGCGCTCACGTTGCTCACCACAGTTCTTGCAAGAGAAGCTGCGCAACGTTGCCTCTGCTCCACAGGTCAGGAAGAAGAGCGCGCACGTGTTGGCAGAGAACAGCACCATGCTCTTTTTCATAAGCAAGGCAGCACCACGTTTGCCATCACCTCTCTCCTCGGGTCCACATTAGTGGTAGAGAGCTGCAGCTCTTCAGGAATTTCACATCCTCCTGAAGCCTGAATGCACTTCCAGAAATTGCGTTATCCTGGGGGAGGGGAGCACGTGCCAAGAGCAAAGCCAACAAGTGCGTAGGAAAGGCTTCTTTGTTTAGGCTACCGGGAGCCCTCCGTGCAGGACCTCCTCCAGCACGCAACCGAGAGCAGGACCTGCTTTTCTCTCCGGCTGGCCCATCCCTGGCACCCACGTTCCTCCTCTCAAGGCTGCCCCTTGTTCCGTGGCTGACCTGCAATATCAGGCTCCCTGCGAAGTCTGAGAAGTGCCAGTGACCAAGCTGTCAGGGCTGAGGCAGTTCTGCGTTGAAAAACAGCGAATCCCAATGCTTTAGGCACTGCAGCCTGCCGCTCACCTTCTGGCCTGCTGCCCCAGGGCTTGGGTTGGCAGCTGTGCCCTGCTCACAGTTCCCTCTAGGTCATGGCTGCCTGCGTAGCTCTTGAGGCTAGAGCAAGTGATTGTAGTGTTTTAGAGGGGGCATTTGGTAGCTCTTACAAGCTCTGCTGCTTCTGTCAGAGGAGGCCTTTGCTTATGCCTAGCCATCCACAGCTGGGTCCCTTTAGGAAAGCCTGTCCTTGGAAAGGATTGATCCAAAATCCTCTTCCTCAGGGGAACCTTAACTTAGGGCTGACCTCTGTTCTGAGGAAGAGCTTTGAGCTTATGGCCTTTGCTTTTGCAGTTTGTAATGAAGACGGTCTCTGGATAAGCATATCTTCTCATTCCACCGGAGCACAAAATATTCAGCCGTTGCCATGGAGTACAAGCTAGGGGCTTTTCAGGGACTTGGTTCTGCCAACAGTTACTCCTCAACTACATGAGTCAGAAGAGATGGTCTGTGAAGTGGTTCCCTGTCCCTCAAAGGATTAAGCTAATACCCTAGGACTAGCTTCATTTTAGATGAAGCATCAAAAGTCTTGAGGAAGCATCTTCCCAATAGCTGGGGGCTTTTCAGGGACTTGGTTCTGCCAACAGTTACTCCTCAACTACATGAGTCAGAAGAGATGGTCTGTGAAGTGGTTCCCTGTCCCTCAGAACACATGGTAGGTCTGTTAAATTTGTACTGATCTTGTGTTAATTTTGTAGGTATTTACACGTGAGTGCATGAGCCACTATCTAAGAGTGTTTAATTTCCTTTGGAGAGCAAAGCGGATGGAGTATATTCTTACTGATATATGGAAAGGACACATGTGCAATGCAAAGCTATTGAAAAGTATACCAGGTAAGGGGGACCCAAATGGATAACATACTTGCAAACTGGATTTAGATGACCGCAACTTCTTTTACACTGCGTGTTATGAAAAAACAGTAATCCCCTAGGGCTAACTTAATTTTAGATATTGGTGCTCCTCTTGTAACGGTTTTATGAGAGAGGATGGTGAAAGAGCAGACTTGGGAATGGAAGTGTCCCCTGTTTATTATCTTACTTAATCCGTAGTCATGAATTGTGTAGCAGTGAGGAGGTGAAATGTTCCATGTCTCTGGAAAGAGGAAACAAAGCAGTGAAGGGACTGTTTTAAAGGCAGGTGTTTTTGTGGAAGAGCCAAGCAGTAGGAACGCTGTCCTAATATAGCTAAAGTCATCTTACTTGGGTAGGTTGCATTTGCTAATTTACGTCGAAGACATGGCCAGAGTGTGGCTTAAGGATTAGTCAGTTCAGACATGTAGCATCACAAAAGAGGCTGCCAGCCAAGTCTGTAGATGTTTTATTTTTGACTGTTGACACATCCCAATCATATGATGGAGATCATCTGGGTATATGGCTGAGGCTGTGCGAGGCGCTGTGCCTTGGTTGGCTTTCCAGCTGCTGCTTGTACACATTCCATATTCTTCATCAAATGGGTTTTCATCCAGAAACATCGTGCTTTATGGGTGGTTACTAAACTAAGCTGCAGTATCTTTCTGGATTGGAAAGGAGGAGATAAGTGGAAAAGGGAAACTAAGGCAATACGACATGTTAGTTGCATTTGTAGCCTTTCCTTTTCTGCCAAGCTCTCTCTTTTATGCCTCACTTTGTGGCATTACCGGGTTCTGGATTTGAGGTCAGAGAAAGCATCAGGTTTCCTAACTGCAAATTCACAATGGAGTAGGTAGAGGAGTTGAATAGAGATTGCTCTCTGTTTGCTTAAGATATAAACAAGTAATCTGGACAGTGGCAACCCTGTGACACCTGAGCCCTTTGAATATACATTCCTTTCAGTGTAGAGCCCTAAGGTGCAGCACAGCATCGCAGGCGTGCTCAGCTATATTTTCCTTGGACGCATTTCACCTTCCCTCCACCAACGTTCGCTCCTTGGGCTTACCGTTACTTTTCTCAACAACCCTGTCTTAAGGCTACCCCAGCTAGCACACTCTAGCTCTTGTATGCATAACTTCAGGCTACAGCCTGAAAGGTGGACTCCTGGCAGGGGATTTCTTGCACAGATTTTATCCAACTCTCAAGAAAGCGTCTCTTTCAGTCATTGATCTAGCATGCATCTAGGAAACATGTTCTGGCCCTGGTTAGTATGTCAGCTACTGGCCTTGGGGGCTGTTATTGGTTCTTTCTTCTTGTTGAAGAAGGTGTGTGAGGACCTGCACAATTGCAAGAAACATGTGATTTAGACTCCTTGACTCTTACTGGTGTCGCTGAAGGTTTAGATTTAGCTGAAGACAAACTCTTCTAGCCTCATAGAACCTTGTGCACAAACCGAAGCAATCGGAGGTCTCGTGTTCTTGTGCGTTTCCCTCTGGTGGCCTTGGCTGCTCTCAGCAAGGAGGAGCTCCTGATGCAGGCACCTATATTGTGGCGCTGGAGGCTGGACTTCGTGTGGATGGCTTGTGTGTCTTCCCACCCTGCCCTCTTCAGGTAAAGAAGGAGAAAGCAGGCAACTTGGGTGGGTACTCCGTGTGGGCAATACTGCCAGTGGCCTTCCCCCTTGAGAGACCCTTTTCAGCTGGTGGGAGTAGAGGGGTAAAGGGGAAACTTCAGCATCCATGTGTATGGTTACAGGGCTTCAGCTATGAGAGGTCTGCCTTCTGGGTGTTTTAGGGCATGTGCCTTTTTACAGAAATCCCAAAGCAGTAGCTCCTAGAATGGCTTGAGAGCTTCTCTTCTCCATCCATTGCTCAGTACTCAAGCTCTTTGCGTGTCTTTCCCTTGACTAGCGTAAGCAAGTCTACTTCTTCCTTCATTCTCTAGGCTGCACGCATGGCAGGCGTATAATACTGGTGCAGTCTAAACGCTCCTCTTGGTGCTGTATCCTTTGAAGAGCTGGGAAATTCATAGTTTGGTAAACTGATGGCTTCTAGTCTCGGCGATAAGGTGTTGGCCGGCAGGCGTCTCTCTGATAGAGGAGTGAATATTTGCAGCGCTGGTCACCAGGGCTTTGGAAAGGTCAGGAAGAAGAACGGAAGGGCGCTTCCTCCATTTCCGTCTTCTGCTAGGTTTGGGGTTGGTGGGCTGTGGTGGAGCAGCAGAGCTCGGTCCGCCCAGCTGCCTCGCCCTGGATTTGCTAGCAGATGCACTGACCCTGTGTCTTAAGCATAAGCTCTTCTGGGCAAAGTCCATTGCTTACATTTCCTCTTAACCATTCAAAGTGATGCTGAGTGATTTCAGAGTCATAAAAGATTGGGGGGAGGGGAGGCAGGAAAGGTCTTGGAGGAAAGAGTCAGTGGCCCAGACGAATGTGCACAGGGAGGGAGGCAACCTTACGCAAACCTTATGCTTATCTGTTTTTGCTCAAGTTTTGGCATGTACGTCCCCTGACTTCTACAAAGATGTCACTCTCAGTAACGTGACAGGAGCATGAAGAGCTCAGTTCTGCAAGGCTGACCGTAACTAGAACACAGATGGGTTCTGTCCCTTCCTAGGCTCTGACATGCATTTTCCCCTGGACCAAAAGCTATGTGTGTTTAAGATGCCAGATGTGGAAATACTTCTCTTCCTCCAGGAGCAAAGTTTCCCATGGCAAGGAGAAGGCTTTGGAAGAAAGGCTGGATATGCAGCCGCTGGCCCAGTACTTGTTTCTTCTAAGAGTTTGTTGCTTCCTTCTGTGCAGAGTCAAAGGCTGCACTCTGTACCTCTGCTCTGAGGTACTTTGCTGTGGGGTTTATTAGCCAGGGGCAGGCAAAGAACGCCTTTGCCTCTGGAGGTCGCTGGGAGACAGGCTCTTGTTGAGTCTGCTCCGATTGCCAGGGCTGGTCTGTGGGACTTCACCGAGTGACTAGGTTTCTCTACTGTCATTTCCCTGTCCCCAGTAAGCGCTTCTCTGGCTCCAAGCTAGTGTTTTCTTGTGTTCTCCCTTTCTGAGATGAGGGAACAGGTAACCAATGTTGTTTTCATCCTGCTGGAGTTTTCAAACTGGAACCAGCTCCCATTGTTAGGGTTCTGTTTCTTCTCGGAAGGAAGTTTGGTCTGTGTTCATTTTGTCCTCCCCGGGAGGCACTTCTTCTGCTTTACTGGGGAGCAGGTGTTTGCAGATAAAAGCTCTGTTGCTCACCGCCTTTCGTTTCAGCTGCACGTTAAACAGCCCGGGTGTCGAGGCTGCTGGCCAGGCTCTTCTAGCTCTTGCTGGCAGGGGGAGGCCCGCGTGGGCTTCTCTGGGGGTGTGCCCTCAAGAAAGGAGAGTGTGTTGTCAGAGACATGGTCTGCCTTCTGGCCGGAGGGACCCGAGGAGCAGGTCTTGGAGGGTCTTGGTCAACTCCCCAGAGGCAGCCTTCTCTTTCTGGGATCACTTTATTCACCATTCCCAAACCGTAGGAATACCAGGGATTTTCATGCTTTCAAGGAGTAATTGCAGACAGTCAGGTCAAGCTTGCTCTTTTCCGATCAGTAATCTGAAGAAGGAATACATATCCATCCTAGTCACCAGTGTGAAGGAATGCCTGCTCTTTGGCCAGCCCTGGAGGTTATTTCTTGGACCCTATGGAAAGTGGCTGCAACTTCATGTGTTGGTGACAGTCTTCCTGCAAAGGCATGAGGAATGATGAACAGAGGAGCTCGTTGGCCTATCGTTCAGCGCAGTGAATGGTTCTGTAACATCCCAGGATACGAAAACACAGGATTCCTTTTGTAGCAGTCTCAGTGCTCTTCTGCAGCGGCACACTCACTTTGTCAGCTTTAGAGAAGGATGACTTCTATCCCCAGACATCTGCCTCATTCCAGAATGTTGCATATCCGCATCCGGGAGAATTATGTCACTGACGGTTATCTTGACACTACCCTTCTGCAGCAGAGATATCCTCCTCCAGAGCTGAGGCTGTTGGCGAGACTTGCCCCTGGGTCTCTGTGGTGGAGCAGGGAATTGGGCCAGGATCTCCAGAGTCATGAATGCCACAGTCCCATGAAAACCGCCCTCCAAAATATGGTGCTGGGGTGAGACTTACCAGCTGGGTTAACCTGAGATTTCCTTAATAGTCACTGTCTTCCCACAAAGGCTGCAAGAATAGCTTCTGCAGCTTGCCCTTCTAAAGGAGTCTGGTCACTAACGTGCCTTGAATAGTCTCTTATGCTGTACAGCCACCGAGTGGACTGCCAGCTGCATTAGCAGAGGCTGCATGTTTGGCTTGCTCTGGCGATGCTTGTCTTGTGTGAACAGGGTGGTTTAGCCAGGGGCTGCCCTGGGTCCAGCTTCCAATCCTTGTTCACTTGTTCTGGATGCCCGTTAGATTTTTTTTTTTTTTGGATGGATGATGAGCTTTGATAGGTAGAAATCCATTTCAGATGAGGAGTAGGTGTACCTTCTGAGGCTTCATTTTCTGCTGCTCTGTTTAGTAGTCTGTATGCACCAGTCCTCAGCAGGCAGTAAGTTTTGGGAACATATATAGCTAGGTGTATCTGAATGGAGGATGGATGAGCTACGCCTCCCATCTCTGGAAAGCTGCCCATTCACAATACGTGAGAACTACTGCGAGAGTACCGACAGCTGTTTAGTCTCCCCAGGGGAGACCAAGCGCTTGCTCCCCTGCCACAGCGGGAGAGTCTCTTCAGTCAGGTCTCCGTCTTCTCCCCGGCGGGGAACCAATAGTTGTGCTTTGGTGTAATCTGAGAAAATCAAATTCCTACTGCGTTCCATTTGCTTTCTCAGCCTTGGCAAGTCATTGCTGTTAAGGACTTGCAGGAAGTGTCCTTTTTTCAGGCCCTCCAGCTTAAGTCTAAGGGCACGAGAAGGGGCGATGGGTGAGCAGCTGCGGCTGTCAGGATGACTTGCCAGTGGGTCTCTGTGGTGGCAGGAGGAACTCAGCCTGCACCACCTGAGTCATGAATTCCCCAGTCGCGTCACGACCATCCTCCGTTTCGGGCTCAGTGTAACTGAGTAATGCAAATTATGCTGTCTGTGGCTTGAAGGCTAATTACAAGAGATCTGAGGAGAGTGGAGGAAGAAGCAACTGTGGATCTGTAGTCTCAGACTTTCAACGAAAAGAGTGCAAGCAACATTCACTCTACTTTGGTCTCTTGGGGGGGCTGCAGGGGTCTTTTTCTCTTGTGATGCTCTGCAGGTTTTCAGCACCGTCTGATCGCACAGTCAGTGTCGTTTTTGGCTCTGTTTTCAAGGAGTTCATTGTGCCAAGTTCTTTGATCTTGGGTTAGCAGCTAGTATCACAGTTACCATGCAAGTTTAGTGGCTGTTTTGTGGGGTATTTGGTTTGGCTAAAAAAGCATTACCAAGCTGGTTTGATGGCTATTGCTGTCCTTTTGGTCTTTAACATGCCATCTCTTTGAATTTTTTACAGAGCTTTCTGGGGTGCTGCATCAGTGTCACGTTCTGGCATCAGAAATGGTCCATTTCATTCATCAAATGCAGTATTACATTACATTTGAGGTACACTTTATCCACCCAATTGATTGCTTAACAAAGAAGCACTTTTAGTATCCTGTATGTGTTGCGTGTGTTAAATTTCAAAGAACTTTGTCGCCTAGCAAATTAAAACAGCCCCATCCTGAATCATTGCTCCAGGTACTGGAATGTTCATGGGATGAACTCTGGAACAAGGTCCAACAAGCGCAGGACTTGGATCACATAATTGCAGCTCATGAAGTTTTTCTGGACACAATCATCGCTCGGTGCTTGCTGGATAGTGACTCCAGGGTAAGTCTTACCTCTGCATTAAGCTGCAGCTTTGTGATCTTGGCTCATGGCTTAGCGACTCTCCCCTATTATGTTACAGGAACCCTGGGAAAAGTCATTTTTCTCCCTCTGATATAAGACTATTGTGGGAGGCTTTGTACCTAGTCCCTGCACGCACTGATGGGTGCCGATTATAAAGCTTGCTGCAACGTGAGGCCGTTGCTCTTGGTCCTAAGAAGCATGCAGCTTCAGGCAGCAAGGGACTTGGGGCTTTGCAAAATGGTCTGTCCGGCTGTGTATGAAAAGATTCAATGTTTGCATGTTCCAAAGAGTGGAAGGAAGTTAAATCTCTTTCACTGTAGAACTCCCCTCAATGTTTTGCTGCTGTACCATCTCACAGGTACTTCTCAACCAGCTTCGGGCTGTTTTTGATCAGATCATTGAGCTCCAGAATGCCCAAGATGCAATGTATAGAGCTGCTTTGGAAGAGTTGCAGCTGAGGTTGCAATTTGAAGAGCGAAAGAAACAGCGTGAGCTTGAGGTACAGTAGTGCTATCACTAGAACATGGCAGGTAACTGAAGCAGCTGTATATGGTTTTTGCTATCTAATACTCAGTGGGTTTCTGACAACATCTAGAGCTGAAACAGAAATGGACAATGTTGTTGGGACAGGCGTCAAAGTCATCAGTAGTAATGTAGAGAATTCAAAGAAAAGCCCTGCATGGCATTCTTCATGTCTGCCTTGCCCCAGAAGTCTAGGTGAATAGATCTTGTAGTTGGCTTTGGAGGACAAGACGTTTAGGGCTGTTTTAGGTGAAGGAAATGGAAGCAGCTTGCAGATTCTAAACCTTCTGACAATGAATGCCGTAGCTCCATGCCCGCCTCCGAGCTGTCCATCTGTGGGAAGTGCGGTCCTGGGGTGGGACTTTGTTAACCTGACATTTCCTGAATAGTCTCTGTCTTCCTACGAACATTGGGAGAACGACTTCTGTAACTTTTCCTTCTAAAGGAGTCGGGTCATTAATACATCTTGAACAGTCTCAGTGTGCTGTACAGCTGCTGAGTGGACTGACAGGTTCAATATCAGAGGCTATGCGTTTGGCTCGCTCTGGCGATGTTTGGTTAAACACGGTGGTTTATCCAGGTGGAAGGTGAAGCTCGACCTGTTATTTGTTTGGTCTCTTTGTAGGGCGAATGGGGTGTAACTGCGTCAGAAGAGGAGGAAGAGAACAAGAGGATAAAAGAATTTCAAGAATCAGTACCCAAAATGTGCTCGCAGCTTCGCATACTTACTCATTTTTACCAGGTGCCCCTTAGTTCTTTCTGTAGATGGATTTGAGGTTTTGATACGTAGAAATCAATTTCAAATGCAGCTTAGATGTGACTACTGCATTCCTGTGTGCCATTTTTTGGATGTGGTCTTCAGTTTTGCGGCTTTGTTTAGAAGTTTGTATTCACTGTTCCTCAACAGATTTTTGTGATTAGCTGTGTTCCCCTGACAAAGAGGGATAGGCTCTTCATGTAGGTCTCCTCCTTCTTTCAGGAGGGGAAGGAATGGTGGGGGTGTCTTGGTGTAATCTGAGAAAATCAAATTCCTACTGCGTTCCATTTGCTTTCTCAGCCTTTGCAAGTCGTTGCTGTTAGGGACTTGCAGGAAGAGTCCTTTTTTCAGGCCCTACAGCTTAAGTCTAAGGGCATGAGAAGGGGCGATGGGTGTGCTGTTGGGGCAAGGTGCACAGAGTACCTTCTGTGAGGGGCCTTATTCTCCCGTTGTCTTGCTTGCTTACATCTGCTTTGAAAGCTCCCAGTCCCCAGCCAAATCAGCTCTTAGTTTCCAGGGAAAGCACGTCAGAGAGAAAGAGAGGAAGGGACACAGCCATCTGTGCCCCAGCAGCATGGCTTCTGGCATTTGAACCCAGCTCCACTGGCAACCAAAACCCTAGCCCTAGCTGACCTCTTGACCTTCACACAGGAGAAATTCTTGATATCTTTTAGTATGCCTTTTAACTACTCTTATTTATCACTTTTGGCATTGCTGAAGTTAGTGTTATGTAATGATGCTAATACCAAGTTTGACCTAGAGCTAGTGGACCTGCTTTCTTGCTATTTGCTCTTGATATGTCGTATATCTTCTTTCTTTTTACTTTTTACTCTCCATCATATTCATTCAGACAAATATGAAACATGGAAGCATGCATTGTTTCCCTAGGTAAATAGCTTAAAGTGTTTTGTTTTGTTTTTTTTTTCCTGGGAAGACTCACCCATATTTTCCTTTTAGCTTGTAATGGTACAGTAGGTACAGGTTATTTTCAGCAGTTATAGTGGCGATTCCGTGCCTGTTCAGCACGTGCAGAGCACTTGGCAACACTTCTCTCCAGCAATTTCCACCATAAGATCCATTGCTGTGTTGCCTGTAGCTTTGCCAGGATAGAGCTCCCCTGGATGAAGTGTTGCATTGCCACAAGAGTCCAGTTCACATGCAAGTTGGAGGGAAAACAGGTCAGAGGGGCTTAGGTCAGAACATTCCAGTGGTTGTTGTCAGAGGCTGTAGTGATCCTGGCCTATTGACTCAAGGACTTTTGAGTCTGGGAGCAATCTGCCTTCTGGGTCCAAAGATGGCATTTTTCCTGCATGTGAAAAATTGTGCTAAATCCTTGAAGAATGGAAAGCCTGGAATGAATTGTCCTTTTCATGCTCAGAAGAACAGCTAGAGGTTGGTGATTTAGCTTCTGTCTGCCTGGACTATGTTGTGGCTTAGTCCCCAATATGCATTTCCCAAGCAGGACCTCCCTGGCCAGCCTTTGTCATGTCTGAAGGGCACTGGGTGCTCTCCCTAGAGATACATCCATATGAGCATTTCAGCAGAGTGAGCTCTTTCAAGAGTGAGCTCTTGAAATGAGTCTTCCCATGCTCCCTGCCTCCCGAGCTTTGCTCCATCCTGTGGAGAGCTCTGGCAGCCCCTTGGCTGGAGCTGAACGGGAAGATGGGCTCCAGGCACGTGCTTCCTGGGTCCTGACTGCTGCCAGGTGCTCAGCCGCAGAGACCAGATGAGAGCTAGCCTCAAATAAACCCCCCTCAAAACGCATGCAGGTTAGTCACTGGCTCCGCAGCACCCATTGCCCTACTCGGCACGTCCTCTGCTGCTCTGCGGTGCTACTTGCTGCTGCAGGTGGGGCCTAGCACAAATAGGTTCTTTGGAAGCAAGCAGTGGTTTCCAGCTGGTTTGGCCTGCCTTGGTGCTGCAACCTGGGAACACGTGGAGGTGTGCTGTTTGCATGGCTTGGGGTCCTGCGTGGTCTCCCAAGTCTTGTGGGGCTGGCCTGGGAGGGCCGGGGCAGTGGTGCCGGGGCAGTTGCCCTGCAGCCCCCAGCGCGGGAGCCCTGGGACAGGCCGGAGAGTGTTGGCCAGGCAAGGGGGCTGCTCTGCTTGAAAGGCTGAGCTGGCTCTGCTGGAGACACTGAAGTGTGTATGGTAGCAGTTGAAAGGCATAATGAAGCTTCTGAGTTTTTGCAAAAAGCCAGACTACAGTGTAACTCTGTTGCTAACATGTAGGCATAAGTGCTTGTGCTTGCCTTTTCGTGTGTTCTCACTGCCTCTTGGCCAGGCTTATGTAGCACCTCGCATCCCCGTGTGAAACACATCGGACGTGTTCTCAGGTATCTCTTGGGTTTTTCTTTCTCATTCAGGGAATCGTCCAGCAGTTCTTGGTCTTGCTGACAACCAGTTCTGATGAAAGTCTTCGATTTCTTAGCTTTAGATTGGACTTCAATGAACATTATAAAGCAAGAGAACCAAGGCTTCGTATTTCTTTGGGCACTCGAGGCAGACGAAGCTCACATATGTGAAACAGTTTCTAGTGACTGCACCTCGGTATCCGAAGGATGTTGAACCTCTTGTTGGACAAGGCAATCAGTGTCAACATAATTACACCAAGTGGCGTGTGATAGGTGTCCACCATTTCTGCAGACAATGTGTTTCCCGTCATGTGATTGTGTGACACTATATAGCGGAAAGCAAAAAAAGTATGTTTTTTTACACTGATGTTTATAAAACAACCAGACTAAATGAACTGTTTGAACCTCTTCCAATCAACTTGTTACATCATCCTTTTCCACAAATGCCGTATTACTTTGGAGCTTTGTAAGCTCCCTCCACTGTAACTTTTATCTGCGTCCAGGAAATTGCATCTTTTGTTTTTGGAGGCACCATTTCCTTTTTTAACAAGAAAACAAGAAATTTATTTTTTCTATATACTTGTTCTATTTGAAAATAGCTTTTGTTAAAGCTGACAGATTAGAACTCAGACCTAATGTCCTTGCTAAGAAGCTATAGAAAGCATTTTCTTATGCTGATTTTCAGTGTTGTGATGTATATGACTGTGTGAGAAACTTTGTATCCAGGGACATAAAGTTAACTTTAATTTTTCTTTGTTTTCAAGGTTAGCAGTTTCAAATACAACTGATTTAATGGGCAAATTCTACTGCTACTGTACAGGAGCAAACTGTAGCAGCAGAGCAGGAGTGAATTTATTTCCCATAAGATATCTGAAGAATTGAAGTTAAAGCCTCACTACTGTCAAAGGAAAGTGTCCGTAGGGATAGAAGTGAATAAAGTATTTTGTGTTGAGAATCTGAGATGTTAGAAAGAAAGGGATTTGGATGAGATTAAGTACATTTTTCTTCTCTTCCTTCCCTGTTTTTCCATTGTAAATATTTATATATTGCTGTCCAGATGCTGGGGGGGGCAGGACGGGACACAACACGACTCTTCTTTTGCAAAGATGCCACGATATCAGGTCATTGATTATGTTCCACACATACAAGCTTAGAAAAATAAAAACGCAATTATCTTTCAAAAACTTGTTTTGCTTTTTGTAATGGAAAAGTAATAGTGTTTAGACAGCGTAAGAAGGGAGATGCTTCCAGTTAGGCATGTAATTGGTTTACAGATTCCTACCCATTACAGGGTTTTGGTACAGGTATTAACTATAGTCATGGTTGAGCAATTTATTGACTAGCAATTGCTCTCAGGTACACCAAGCCTATGGGCTTTTCTGCCCTTTCTCCGCTCAAACCCCTGGGAAGTGGAGGTACTTGCCAGATAATTCAGAGGAGGCTGCTGCGAGCCATGAGGGAGGTGAACTCTAATGAGGACGGTGCAGCAAACTTGCAGCCATGGACTGACATGGTTTGTTCTCTGGGCATCAGGACTCAGGTGCTGGTGGAAGCAATGCTGCCTAGAAAGTTATCTGGCAGGATCTGGAGTCTTCACTTCTGTTAAAGAAAACATATAAGGGTTTGAACTCTGTGCCCCTTATAGGACAAAAGGCAGCTTCACAGCAGCACTTGCAGGCACCATTTCAGCCAGAAGAAAATCTGGTCCTGAAGGCAAGAGATGTTTTGTGTGCTAAGGGAGAGCTGAAGGCTTCAAAATCTGGCCTCCTAACATTGCAAGAATCACTTGACAGGTGAGACTATTCTGTGTGCATGGCGCAGGTATTCTGTAATTGTAAAGCCTGAGAGAAGCACACAGCTTATGTGCTTGTGACTTTACCTCCCCTCCGCAATTCCGTTTAGAAAAAGACAGCTCCAGAGGGAGCCTTTGGGCCTGTTGCCTGAGGGAGCTGTTATGTGATGCCATGTGTCCCTAGAGAATCCACCTGCCAGAAACACTGCACAGACGTCACCCCTGGCCGACAAGTTCATCACAGCTCGTTCTGTGCCTGAGTTCGTTTGCATCTCTCCAGTTTACAGGACTAGGTACTGCGTAAATCAATCTTTTGCTCTCGCTCTAGCCTAACGGCACTGCTCCAAATGTACATCAGGCCCTAGCATAAGCCGTTTGTTGGGCCGAAAGCACGAGCAGAAGTCAAACGAACAGTTCCAGCTGAAGGTTTTGTTACCTTTGGGGCCAAAACAAATCCAGCAGTGCCCAGACAACCCGACTTCCAGGCTCTTCTCCTGGCGGTGCCCCGGAGCACAGCACACTCGCCAGGCCAAAGGGCTAGCCTCTTTCAGGGGCTAACGAGGCCTGGAGGGCTGCCGCTTTCCCATTAGCACCGAGCAGTGTGCTCTGGCCACATGGGCCCGTCTGCCTGGAGGCCCAAGGCAGTCCTTAAAGTGTGTAGGTGCTGCTGCGATTTGGGGGGATCGCAGCAGGA